TATATGTGCTCCTTTCATCTGCTTGATCTATCAAATTCTAAAAGTGCTACCTTAAAAACAACTAAAATTGTGATGTATTTCTTCTCATGGTCCTGTCAATAGTCGCTTGCTTTATATATTTTGAAGCTATATTTACACATTCATAATCTTTTATCAGAGTACTAGTATATGTCATCCTTTGTCCCTCATGGCATGTTCACCTTATATTTCTTTTGCTGATGTTAAAACTGTTGCCATAGCTTTTGTTCATATTTGCCTTCCTTTTTCCTTTTTTTCTTCAACGTTTTGTACATTTTTGCTTTAAATATGTCTTTTAAAATCTAATCTGGGAGGACTGTGTGAGGTAGGAAAATTTCAATGTCTCTGGAGAATTGGGGTGGATGCAACAGATGGGCAGACCTTTGACAGAATCAGGTGGAGACAGAGAAATTTCAAGGTGGAGGAGTCTGAAAAAAGAGTTCATAATGGGCTTTCTTAATTTTTTCCAACCCAAACTTGTCAGTGCCTTTGAGGTTAAGCCTGATCCCAAATGACTTAATATGGTTTCTGAAAAAGCTGGGTGATCCCCGTGTGACCAGTTGTGCCTATTTCAGTTGGAAGGGAATATTCAAAGGTTGGATGAAAGTTTCCTTGTGGGAAAGTTCAAAAGCAGACAACTTTTATGAAACAATGGGAAAGTGAACACAAGGGAAGGAGAAGACCCTTAACCATGACATTGCTGAGCATCCAAATCCTCTCTCAGTTCCACATTCCTTAAGTTGTTAACAGTTCAAGGGAATAAAAGCTTTTTGAAAAGACTGGCTCCTTTCCAAAGAACTGGCAGGCAGGGAGATAATACACATGACAAGACTGAAATACACTGAAGTCAGGGACATTTGCCTTGTAATGAGAAAATACTCAGAAGAGGACTGCCTACTGAAGTGCATTAAGATTCGTAAGAAAAAGTTAGGCCTGACAGTAAGAGTTTTGCCAGGTAGAGGCAAACCATACGTGCACAGTTGCTCTGCCTGCTATTTCAAGCACGGAGGAAAGGGGACACGGATCCAGAGGATGTACAAACCCTTCTGCAATTCTAATACAGGTACTCTCAAAAGATTTAGAGGAAGCTATTCATTCATCTTCCTGATCCCAAAATTCTGTATCTCATTTCTAATGTTTAAGCAGAAGTCTGGGAAATATTGTACAGAACACAGAATTAGACAGTTTCAAATACATTCAAAGGCAGACATCTTTGAAAAATATTCTGTATGGGATATATTCAAGGCAGAGATATAGGGAATGTGATGGTAGACTTCCCAAAAAAAAAAAAAAATAAATAAACAAACAAACAAACAAAAAACCTCAGAGCCATAATTTCAAAAGATTTCCTTATTTTTCTACCTCTGAAAAGTAATGAACGGTGTGAGACCCTTTTGGGGAAGAGGGAAGGACAATCATCTCTTGAATTTTCCTAGCAACCTACAGCAGTGTCTTAACCATCTCCAGTTCACAGACGAGCCTGGCTGCAGGTTCCCTATCTTACCTCATGAAGGACACATGAAGGATGGATGGGTGCATACTTGCTCTGTCCTTGAACTGACCAGGAAAACTTAATAGATGATGGCCTCAGGACCAATCAAACTGAACTTAACCTTTACAAGTTTAGACTCATGACCAGTTGGTAGCAACCACTGCATTTATAGAGATCTGGGAAGATCATGAGAAGATACACAGGCTACCTTGTAGCTTCTATCCTCAGACCTCTTACACCAGGTGCCATTGGTTCTCTGAGCTCCAAGTAAATCTATTCATTCACATAGGTATTTTGTTAACTGTATGTTCACAGAAGCTCTGGGATATAAGAGCTCTCATGAGATTGTATGGTCCAACATACCTATATGAGGTGCCTGGCCAGTGTCACACGGAGTAGCAGACTGGGTCCAGATCCTTCTTCTCTCAGTCTCATACCCTCCATAATCACCAAGATTTTCGTTAGCCAGAAAATGTATACGCAAACACATCTTGGTATCGGGACTTAAAAAAAAAAAAAAACATCAAATGACACCTTTTAAACCAATGACAATGGTTTCTATTCTTGTTTCCAACTCAAATTTTCTTTCAGAATTTGCTCTTCAAGAAACATTAGGCTTGGTAATGAGGACTCTGAAAGCCAAGAGTGCTAGATTCTACTGCCGAAACCCCAGTATGACTTTCTGTGAAACTTCTAATAAATAATTCAGTATTGCCTTGAAGCCATTGAATAGCTGGAAATAATTTGGAAGCTGGTGTCTCAAATCATTACCAAGTACACCCATACGACAGTACTATTTCCCCTGAGAATTGTTAAACTTCCACCAAGCAAGTCCACAGTAAATTGGCATCTGGTCCCTGCCAGGTGACTAACATCAAAATGTTTATCTTTTAAAGGTCCATTTTCAGCCTGCCTTCACCAAGCCTGTCTAGTAGCTGCCTTCTGAAGGTCCAGTTCAAACCAACTAGGCCTCCTGATGGACAATAAAGAGGAAAACAGTGGTGAAGATAGAGCCACAAGCACCTAAAGGATCTATCACACTGTGTGTGCCATGTCTGTTTGGCCAGTAGAGCCTTGGGGAGCAGGCCTTCATTTATATTCTGAGTTTTAGAACACACTGATGAAAAGGGAATGGCCATTTATGGGGCCTCCATAATGTACTAGGCACAAAGTATGCCATTTTCATATTTTCATTTTCACATTTTCATATATCCTCCCAACATCCCCTAGAAATTAAACCTTACTTCACAGACGTGGGGCAAGTGCGGCGCAGGTCATGGGCCCTGAGTAAGGTCATTCAGCTAGAAAATGGCAGAGGTAGAATTCAGATATGTCTGTTTCCCCAAGATTATATTCTTTTCACATCATACACAAAATTTCCTAAGCAAGAACACTGAAATGTTTTAAGTAAGGAGCCCATGGAAAAGATTATTTCTCTTATCGCTACCAGGTGAAGCTCCTCTTTCGCTGAGCAACAGACCAGAGGCTGGGTGGAGTTAGTGCCCACAAGGCAGGCCAAACTCACAGCCCATTTGTCTAAAGATGGCATCAAAGGCTGTTCACCATGACCAGGTGAGGGCTGTTCAAATACCCTGGGCAGGCAAGGTTTCTTTAGACCAGGGGAGTAGAAAAATAATTTACTGAAAGGCAACAGATTTTAATGATGAAGAAGAGCATAGACTCTGGAGCCAGGCTGCCTGGGTTTAAAATCCCATCTCCTGTTTTGCCCCAAACAGTCTAAGGCATGTGTGCATATGAGGGTGTCTGGATGTGGGGGCAGAGCAGATGGACGGGCAGGAGCAGCCAAGTAGTGGGGTTTGCTGAAGAATGGTCAACAGGGACCTGAGGCATGCTGCATCTAGTTTTGCATATGTCTAAAACGCACTGTAACACAAGCTTAAGAATAAACAAACCAGAGCTCCTCCACTCACTAGCTGTGTGTCATGGACAGGTTCCCTGGCCTGCCTCAGCTTCCTCATGTGTAAGATTGAGTAATAATCGTACCTACCTCATGAGGCTGTGTGAGAAATAAATACATGTAAAATATCAAGCTACTATTGTTTACACAGTAACTATGAGTAACTAAGCCCCAGGCACTAGACTTGGCTTTACAAATACACTATTTCAACTTAACCCTCCCCACACTCCTATGAGGCAAGATAACCTCTAAGTGGACTCAGAGGAATTTCAGCAGCAAAATCTGCATCAAAACCCAGGTTTGTTCTAAAAGCCACATTTTCTACTAGAGAGTTTACCTTCCTAAAAGTGACTTTACCAGTTCTTTACGGACAGAGAAACTGAGGTTCAGTGGGATTAAGTAATCCACAATTCTGAGTGGCAGACTGAGAACTAAATGCCGATCAGGTAATTGCAAGACATGCAGACTGTGGTCTTTCTGCTGGAGAGAATGGGCTGTCCTTGCTCCATCCTCACAGCATCTGCCCCCCTGGAAGGGGACTCACCAGCCGCACAGTGGCCACTGTGAGGAGCAGAGATGGCTGCAGATGCCTTCCCCCTCCCTCCAGCCCCTGAATGAGAAAGTCCTTGGGACAGTGGCCTGCAGTCTTTCTCAGACCAGCAAGCACTGAAGTTTGTAACAGAACCAAATAAAGGGGAGGAAAACAGAAACCTCAGAGGAACGTGATGCTAGCGGCCTCTGAATTTGTTAAGTATTTTAGCAAATCGCTTTCCAGGGCCATTGGCCCTTAAGTAAGTATGAGGAGGCACCGGGTCTCTCTGAGACCAGCTGACAGAGTAGGGCCGCAGAGCTCTGTCGGCCTGCGGAGTCCAGGCTCTCCAGGCATCAGCCAGGGAAGTCCTTCCTTTTAATAGCTGCTTCATCTTCCTGAGAGACTCACTCCAAGAGGCCCCAAATCTCCACTAACAGCCTCTGCCATCAATGAGCGAGTCGCACAGCCACGGGGATTAGGAAAAGCGCTTCTCTCCCCACAAATCTCCATAATCAGCAATGACAGGAGAACAGAAATCCTCAGAACAGTCACCATGAATCTGACTTCCAAAGAGAGGCTGCTCCATCAGGAACCGGGACTGCATGAGCAGTGCTGTTAGAATAAAATGAGGCAACCATTCCAGCCAATTTGCATTGAAAACTCAGCTGGAATGCCAACAATTTGCATCCTTTCAGATAAGAACAAAACCAAGCCTGACCTTTACTTCCAGGACCACTCTGCATTGCTGTTTGCACAAACAGACTAAGTTAAAGTAGGAAAACCTAACTGGTGTAAAAAGCATCTGTGGTCACAGTCTAATTAGAACTCTCACTTTCTAAAGCAAGCCAGTTAATGCACCCTTTCTGTCCCTCTCCATCTTAAAATTGTCAGTCAAAAAGCATAATTTTACTCAGAAATGATGAGCAGAGGGAGTGCTGGGGAAGGTGGAGAGCGCCACAGGAAGGGAAGGGGAGGGAAGAGGGGCAGACCCCTGGGCAGGGGGAGACTCACAGACAGCAACTGGCAAAACATGATAAGCATCCAGTTTAAGGCTATTATCTCCTTTATTCAAAAAATAAATATTTCACTTTGATTCAACATATTTCAAATCACATTAAGCACAGAGAAGAAATACAGTCCCTTTGGAGATTGTGACACGTGTTGGAAAGAGGCATGATCCAAACAATGGGAATGAGGTGAGTGCGGATTCCAGCTGCTTCCCGACCCGGAGGTTCCGCACCTCTTCAGGTGGAGCTACTTATTGATTTTTAGGAGAGAAAAAGAAACACACACGCGCGCGCGCGCGCTTTGAAGTCTGAAAGGCACATGAAGTGGACCATAAGGTGTATGGCACATTCACTGATAAAACATCCCCTATTCCCTCCCAAGAAAAGCGGAGATACTTTAATCAAGTCAAAGACCAGAGAAGACAGGGTGCTCCAGCTTACAGCTCAGCAACATGAACATCTCTGAATATGAAAGCCATTTTTTGTTTGCGTCCCCCTCCCGCGCCTCCTCTCCCTGCTGATGGGGTCCGCGGCTGGCTGCGGGGCTCACTCGGTGATGGTGGGGCGCGTGGCCACGTACACAAACACCACGATCAAGAGCACGACCACGGCCAGCGTGGGCAGCACCACTGTGGTGATCTGCTGCCGGGCCTCCTGCATGGCTTGCTTCCGCTCCTTCTTGTCCTTGGAGGTCTCCTTCTTGGGCTTCCCTTTGAGCTGCCGCATCTTTCCTAGAGGAAGCTAGGAGGGTGTGTCCAGAGGGATTCCAGGAAGGGCCACACTCTTCCTGTCAAGGCTGGAACCTCCTGTAGAAAGAACTGTGATGGTCAAGAATAAATCAAGTGGAAGAAAAAATAAATCATAAAGGCAAATACACAACTAGGAAAAACACCTGCAACTTACATGACAAAGGGCTAAGAGGCCACACGGGTCTCTAAGTTCCCTTGGGATCAGCGCTCTAAGCAGTGGGCACTGGGTCACCTGTGTGCTGTGAGAGGGGCCTTTGCTCCAGCACCAGCTGGACAAACCCCTGGGTACCAGACAAATAATACTGTGTTCTGTACGTGCCATGAGGTGAAAGGATCGGGAAGTACCAACTACGCTGCCTCCACTCAGAGAAGTGGCTGTCCCTTTCATGGCTGTAGCTACTTGCTTTCCTGCTCTAAGTTCCATGATCTCCCCAGCCCATCTCCAGCATGGAACTGCAGGCAGTCTGCAGTCTCCAGGCACGTGACCCCCTTCCTGCCCAAGCCAGGCCAGACTCATTAAGGCTGCAGAGAGCCCACAGGCACCAATTTCTCTCATCTCTTTGTTGGTTCCTTGGCCCATTCATTCAAACCTTCCCGAGCACCTACCGTGTGCCAAGCATTGCTCAAGGAGCTGAGGATAGAGATGAAGGACTCAGTTGTGTCCCCACAGAGGTCACAGTCTGGGAGGCATGATGGAAACCTGGGTCACAATAATAATAAAGGGAGATGGCTGAGCCCACAGTCCTGCCACCCACTAAACCTGGGATTCTCCTGTGAATTCTGTGGCCCGTGGAGGGTCCTAACAGGTGAAGTAGAACTTTCAGGGGCCTGAGGAATGAATACAAATGTTTGGCTAACTACAGAGGAACATCTCTATAAAAGTCAGCTTCTTAGCTTTAAGCAGATGAAAAAGACTTTGGCTGATTTAAATTGAGGAGTTTACTTAAAGGCCTTTGGCATCTCATTGATTCCCAGAAAAGCCAAAGAACCAGGCTCAGAAAATGGGCAGGACATTATGCTGTGCTGCTATAAGTGGATCCCAACTCACACTCCCAGTGTGAGGATGCCAGAGCCTGCATCACCACCTGTCAGCACTGGACACGGGCACTGGAGCAGGAGGTGCCGAGCCACCATGACCACCCCCAAAAACTAGATGTGGCTGCTGGCACAGTCTCCAGATGAACTCCCCACCCCCCAGCTTTCTGCATCACCAGCTCTCATGCATGTGTGACTAGACAAGCCCAGGTCCATATGCCCACAGCCTAGCCTTCCAATTTGTACAGCGGGAAGAGTACTTTCCAAACACAGTGAAGGAGTGGGGTTAGGAAGCAGGCAGGGATATATCAAAGGCAGATGTCCATTACAATATCCTGGGCGAGTAGCACGGAGTGAGGGGTTCTTGGAAGCAGAAGAGCGCTGTACACCAATGTTCCTCTAGCAGAGGGACCTATGCTCTATACTGTCTGCCCTGTTTTGTCCCAGGGTAGTGGGTGGCCTGTCATCATCTTGAGGAGGAAGATGACATCTCCATCTAAGTGACCGAGGTGGCAGAATGTGGACTCAGAGTTGGGAAAGGTCTTATTGATACCATCCTGTTTTTTTTTTTTTATGAGGGATCCTTAATCTCTTACCATTCCTCTCATTCCATTTAGATCCCAAAACCTCTGTTGTATCATTCAAAATCAGGCAGAGTTTCCTAAGGTATGAGATGACAAATATTATTGTGCTAGGATGGCATAATGCCAATCAAGAGCAAACATTAAGGTTCAGGAAATATTAAGGGAAGTGCCATTTGGGCAAATGTATAATTTCCTTCATGAAATTAGGAACAGAGAGAGGGAAAAAAACCAAAAACCAAAAACAAAAAACAAAAACAAAAACAAAAACAAAAAACCTACTATTACTTTCTTAAGGCCTGAAAGGTACAGGAACCCCTGGCTTTACCAATTCTCCTTTTCAGGTCTTCCAAAGGACTTCCAGACTGACTTGCCTTCAAATCCAGGACGTATCACTTACAGGCTAAATGGCTTTGAGCAAGTCACTTAACTCCACTAGGCCTCCATGCCATCATCTGAACAATGAGAACAGCTTGTTTTAAAGGATGACTGTGAGAATCCGGAAAGCAAATGCATCTGTACGCAGAGCTCTGCCCACCCACAGGGACGCAGTACAGGTGGGCTGAGACATCTCCACCCATACCCGTGGGCGGCCCAGGGATGGGTGCACTGAGCTCCTCTAAGCCAGACTGCAGCCTTGAGTGGTGCCCACCTTCGCGGGACTGTGGTGAGGATGGAATAGGAAGCTGTATAACTCAGGGCTCGGCACAGAGCGGGCACCGAATTCATGCTAGCCGACATACTAACACCTGGGACGCACCCCAACGGCCCTGTGTCAGACAGACAGCATTTATTATCCCCACCATGGAAGGGAGGAAACCAAGGAGCAAAGAGGAAAAACGCCAACAGTCACCCAGTTTGTAAATATCCCATGGCTTCTAACAGCAATGGACAGCATTCCTGTTCAAAGCTGCAAACGGCAGCCCATTCCCTCTGATACGGCCTCAAAAAAATTATTTAAAATGAAACAAGCCATCAGCAGCACTCTGATTCATGGCCATTTCCTTGTGAAGATAATGGCCTGTCAGAGCCCGCTGCTGTCTCTCCCAAATTCCTCACAGGACTGGCAGGTGGCACCCCGGGCCTGGGGCTAGCCGAGCCCTGGCTGTCTGGCTAGCAGTGCTGGGCCTGACTTCCCTCCTGCACTTCAAGCTGCTGTCTGCATCCGCCCCCATAAGTGCAGCTGACATTCAAAGGCCCCAGCCTCCACGATGACCAGTCCTCAACATTTGTAAGATGCATTCAGAAGTTCCTGGAGGCATGGAAAAAAGCCTCAAGCTACTGGGGCCGGGGCGGTCTGGTCAGGATTTAAAAGGCAAACATGCCCATCTGAATCCTGCGTACTTCATCAGGCTTCAGGAGAAGCAGCGTCTCCGCTCTCACTCACCTGTGACCTGGGGCAGCAAGGGAAAGCATCTCTGAGATAACAACTGGGGAGGGGACCCTTTGGTGAAAAGCGACCAGCCAGGAAATATGCAGCCATAAAAAAGGATGAGTTTGTGTCCTTTGTAGGGACATGGATGCAGCTGGAAACCATCATTCTTAGCAAACTATCACAAGAACAGAAAACCAAACACCGCATGTTCTCACTCATAGGTGGGAACTGAACAATGAGATCACTTGGACTCAGGAAGGGGAACATCACACACCAGGGCCTATCATGGGGAGGAGGGAGGGGGAGGGATTGCATTGGGAGTTATACCTGATGTAAATGACGAGTTGATGGGTGCAGCACACCAACAAGGCACAAGTATACATATGTAACAAACCTGCACGTTATGCACATGTACCCTACAACTTAAAGTATAATAATAATAAATAAATTTTAAAAAAAAATAAAAAAAAAAAATAATAATAATATTTAAAAAAAAAAAAAAAAGCTGGGAAGAGCACCAGGCAGAGGGCAGAGTGGCCTGAGCCAGGCAGGGCATGGATTACTGAGGAGTGAGAGGAACGAGGTGGCGAGGTGGCGAGGTGGCGAGGGCAGGAGGGGACTCCAGGGAGGGGAGGGGAGGGGAGGGAGAAGCAGAGGTACTACTGCAGGCCATGGCAAGATTATTCCAAGAACAGCAGCAGGCGCTGAAGGGCTTTCCAGCAGGGAGGCGCAGGTGCTGAAAAGCTCCCTCTGGCTGGTCAGTGGGGAGTGGATTGTGAGGGAACGCAAAGGGAGGCTCTGGAGCAGTCTAGGGGCTGGGGGGCTGGTGGTGGCTTGGACACGGGGTGGGTCAGCGGTGACAAAGAGGAGGATGGAGTTATGTTCTGAAGGTATAAGGGACAGGCCCCAGTGACTGACTGGACATGGCAAATAAGGGAAAGGGGGACACAAGAATAAATCCAAGGTCTGGAGCCTGAACCACTGCATGGGTGGCATGGGTGGTGATTCTGTCTCCTGAGAAGCAAGAAGGGGCATGGGCAGGAGTGAGCACTGGGGAAGGGTGGGCTCAAGAAGCGCATTGAGTGCTCTGTGGGTACCTCTCTGCGTGTGAGGATGCTTCTTAGAGATCGTCGTGGAAATAATATCAAGGAGACAATAGGATAAATGAGTCAGGAGCTGGGTCTGGGCTGAGGATCTGTATTTGGAAGTCATCAACTATTGGATTAAGAGAGATCATGTCCAAGGCAGGCAGAGAAAGGGCCCAGGACTGAGCCCCAAGGCACCCTGACAGCTATAGGGTAGGAAGTGGAAGAGGGGGCAGGAAGGGGAAGAGCAAGGGGGTACTCAGAGAACAGGAGTGAGGAAAAAGAGAACGTGCCATTATGGGAACCAAGACAGTCAAGAAGGTCAACTGTCAGATGACAGAGGCACTTGTGCCAGAACATAAGCGAACACACTGCTTCCTTGCTCGGGAACATTTGGCCAAGGAAAAACTGTCAGTGGCACGTGCTCAGTGCAGAGCTAGCTGACACTCTGCTGCAAGCCCCCCTGTCTTCCGGTAGCTTGTGATGACGGGTCTGCATGCCAGCACGCCAAACAGCACCAGGGCCGCCAACTGCTTCAAAGTTCTGTGGGAAGAGTGTGTGTGGCCAAAAGGGTTTTTCTTTAAATAATAAAAGAAACCAGAGAATGATGTTTGAGGGATCTAATAGAATGGGAGAAAACCCTGACACTGAAAAAAGAAGAGGTCTCTGTAGGAGCAAGACGGGAAGCCGAATGGACAGACCTGCCTTTGAGAGGCAAAGGACCCTTCGAACTCAACAAGAGGAGGGTAGGGAGATGGCACTGGGGGTGGGGGTGGCTCCGTACTGTGAGGTTGGGGGACTAAAGGCTTCTGTTTATTTTCAATGAAATCGGAGGTTTCAGCTTAAAGTCTGGGAAGTTGGGAGGCAGGCTCGGGGAAAGAGAAATCAAGAAGTAATCACCTTTGGAGGGTGAAAAGGCCACCACAGAACACTATCCATGCCTGCCTCCCTCCGGGCTGAGGACTGCCTCACCATGGCTCTGGGCCCAGGGGC